TTTTGGTGAAATTTGAAATGACATTATGATGTTTATTTCCTGTGTTCACACTCCTATTTTTCATTCAGAAATCATAACATTATAAGCATGTGGTTCATAGGGCTCATGTATTATAAGATGTTCCTTTTTATTAGTTTGGAATTTTTTCCGTTCTTACAATTAACGTCCTGATAATTGTCTGTAGAATTGAAGGTTCTGTGAGTAGTTTGTGTAGTGGGGGTTAGTTTAGTTTGACCTGCTGGTAATTTTGTGTTCTTTGATGTCCCTGATTTCACCCTAGGTTTCTTACTTTTCTTTTTTATTTCATGTTTGAGAAGAGGTGTGAGGGAAATGGTTTATGAAAAGAAGGTTCTAAATGTTTCTTTTTTGTTCTGCTTAATGTAGCGTCCTGCCTAACAGCTCAGAATAGAAACTACCTACCGGGTACCCATCATTTGAAAAAATGTTTATACTTTTTTTTTCTTCATTCCATGTTTTGATATTTTATAAATGCATTTCAATGATTCGCTTAATAAAAGCTACTTTACACTTTTGTCTATTATTAGAGTGTAATTGACGCTCTGACTTTCTCAATGTTGCTCGTGGATTGTGTAGATTGGCATATTGTCAGTGGGCTGGTCACGTGTACTTGGCACAAAAAGATTTTACAGGAGAATGTAAAAGATAAAACCCCATTCATATTTCTAACAATTGTTCCTACATTATGCATTTGTTCTTGCTTTTTTTCAACATATTCACAGTTTGAATTTTGAAAAAATATTTCTTGAGCATTATTTTGCAACCGATAGATTAGGTTGAGCACTTTACAGTCAGCGGTACAAAATACACCATCTGGTCACACAGTCAGCAGTACAAAATACACCATCTGGTCACCCAGCTAGGAGAGTGACTGTCACGGACTTCTCGGGCCTGTTGCTGGACTGGGTCATGTGATCAGAGCGGATTGTTTTCACCATCACATTATTGCGGCAAGTGACTGGAAAGTGTGCAAGTAAACTTTCAGAAACTGCTGTTTATTTTTCTTTAATCATATTTTTGAGCTTCGTACATTTTATCAGCTGGCCAGCGATATGTGGCATAAGTGATAATGCACTGGACTGAGATATTTTGCTATTAAAGCTGAAAAAATGACTGCAATTGTTTTTGGATGAGGGCATAAAAAGATGAGGACAAAAGTGTCAGAAGCCGCCAATCCGTCGTCCGTTGAAGTGCATGGGAGGTTTGTAGGATCGTTGTTATCTGTGCAAGCTCAATGTTCAGCAGGGCACAATGCATGGGAGGTTTGTAGGATCGTTGTTATCTGTGCAAGCTCAATGTTCAGCAGGGCACAATGAAATGGACTGAGATATTTTGCTACATGTATTTTCAGCTGAAAAATTACTACAATTGTTTTTGGATGACCATCAGCTTTACTGTGCTTGGGGTGGCCTACCACAGGGTTTTGTGGTGAGTAGTGTTACTGGTGGCAGTGAAACTTAATGTGAGCTGTGCCTAGTGGTTAGGCTCTCGGACTTGCAACCGTAAGGTCGCGGGTTCGAATCCCGTCTGGGGCTCGACGTTGTGTCCTAGGGAAAGGCACTTTACACAAATTTTCCTCACTTCACCCAGGTGGAAATGGGTACCCGGCTATAGAAAGTGAGAGATCTTTTGTCAGTTTGATAGAGTTTGAGCGCGTGAAATCTGCAGCTTGCACTGTATGCTTCCGCGGAAGTGTTCTCAGAGGGTCTGCAGGGGTAATAATAGTTGTAATGCGCGTAGAGCGTGCTCTTGAGCATGGGTATCCGCTATATAAATGCAATTATTATTATTATTATTAGAATTAATCACTTCTCACTTCTCGCAATCCGTGAATGGAGATTTCAGCCCAAAAATCGACACAAGGGTCAAATTTGTAAATTGTTCTACCGATACCATTTTTCTTTCATTTTAGTATTACGTCTTTTACTTTTATCATGTTATTTTACACTACTAAACTGTAAAATCTTTATAATACATCCATGGGGCGAAAACACGAGAACTTCTTCCTTTTTATCAGCACACCTCACGAACAGACTCTGTGAATATTTGTTACATTATAATATCGACGATGTTAATGTTCTAATGAAATTACCAAAAGCACAACTGGTCGCTTTTAAGGACAAGCGGGCTAACCCAGATTTCAGGGGTTTCCAGAAATCTTGACCTACTTCAAAAGTGGGCATTGCCCTACCTATAGAAGGAGAAGTTTAGTTTCATTGATGTGTACATGTATATTTGTTTGGTTATAGAGAAAACTCTTCTTGTCTTTTAAAGAAACTGAACAAGGTCCAAAAATGTTACCTTCGATTTTCTCAAAACAGCCCTCTTGTGCCTAAAAGCGACCCACTATAGTGCAATGTTGTATATATAGCATGTGATCATTCTGCTTGATATTGTTGCCCCACATGCCTACAAAACTCACAGACAGAAAGTATGGAGTTCCAAAGTGATAATGAGTGATGATATTCCTTTATTGTAATGACAAACGGATCTCTCTAATAAATCATGACTACTATGAGCTGTTCTTCTCTCTGCCCTTTTTTTTGTGTTTTGTTTTTTCTTGAGTTTTTTTAAACGATGAATAGTGTGCGGTTTGAAGGTGCTCTGGTGTGGTTTGCTTCTTCTTTCCTATTAAACATGATCTATCAACTTTATCTCCTTTCCTTCTTTTTGTGTTTGTTACTCTCTTGTAACACATCTAATCTTCGGCATTATTATATGACCGTATTGTGTTGCATCATCATTGCCTTTCTCGCCCTGCACCAGGGTATAGGCCACGGACAAACACTTTCTCACCCTGCACCAGGGTATAGGCCACGGACAAACACTTTCTCACCCTGCACCAGGGTATAGGCCACAGACAAACACTTCCCACCTTTCTCTATCCTGGGCTAGCCTCTTGATGTCATTCCATTTCTTCCCACTTTTCTGTACAGTACATCAATTTCTGTGATTCTTCTCCAGGTTCCACGCGGTCTTCCCCTCGATCTCTTACCCTGTGGTGTTGAGTTGCAAGTGCCATAAAACTCTTACTTAAACAAGAACGATGAATCGTCGTGATGTGTGTGTGTATATATATATATATATATATATATATATATATATATATATATATATATATATATATATATAGATATATAGATATATAGATATATATAAATAATATTATATAATATTATATAATATATTATACTTGTCCATCTTTGGAAGGCTGATACAGTCGAATTTGTCCAAGAATGGCGGTGCTACTGACTGATGTGTCTTTAGGCCATTCCAAAAGGGGGGGGGGGGCATTTCTCGTTCATGCACAGTAGAGTTGTAAATGGGCTGATTCATCATGTCACGCTCATAACTGTGCCTGAACTGTAACAGGGAACTGCTGCTTTTTGTTTCCTGATCCTTACTATCGTCATTTCTCCTCTTCTTCCTTTGCATGTTTGTCACACTCTTGTGACCCACTATTTCCGGGGTGCCTTGACAGTCGAAGCAGACTTTGTGCTGTTGAAGCTAGAGAGCTGAGCAGAGTAAGTCTGATTCCCTGTAAGGAGTTCTCTGTTGACATCCACCCTTTGGGGCTCATAATAATTATGATCTTATGCAGTTGCGAGCGCCGTAAAACCCTCTACTATAACCAAACAAGACGGCGTCCCATTGACGAGGAGAAAAGTTATTGTCTTAGGGGAACTTCTTGCATACTGTCACTCTAATAATACAGGAGAAAGAACGCAAGGGTGGGGGGTGGTGTCAGTTGTGTGGGTGGTTGGCGGGTTGGTAGGTGCTCTGGTGTGGTTTTCTCCTTATTCTTTCCTATCAAACCTGTCGTCCTTATCTCCCCTCCTTCTTTTTTGTGTATGCTACTCTCTTGTAACACATAATCTATTCTTCGGCACTTATATAACCTTATTGCGTTGCAAGTGCCATAAAACTCTTACTAAAACTAAAAATAAACCGAAGTTTAGCCGTTATGCGTGTCCCGATTGTTTTAAGCAAACATGTCCTTTCAACAATCTGGCGCTCATATGACCGTATGCAGTTGCGAGCGCCTAAAACCTCTACTAAATCTAACCTTTCAACAATAAATTACAGTTATCGCATGATAAAAACGACTAAAGTGTTGAGAGCCACCATTAATCCATTGTCCATTTCACTGGGATGCTTGGTGCAGAATTTTTATCCGTGTAAGCTCAATTTGCAGCAGGGCAAAATGAAATAAAGCTTTTAAATAATAATAATAATAATAATAATAATAATAATAATAATATACACGTGTATATTTACAAATTTGTTGCAGCTTGGTAAATACGCAAATGTACAGATCAACACACACACACGCACACACACACACACACACACACACACACACACACAACAAATACACACATACACACATACTTTCTCTCTCTCTCTCTCTCTCTCTCTCTCTCTTTCTCTCTCTCTCTCTCTCTCTCTCTCTCTCTCTCTCTCTCTCTCTCTCTCTCTCTCTCTCTCTCTCTCTCTCCCCTCGTGAGTGTTTGTGCACGGATTGTTGTGGGTGCCTGTGTATCACGGATGTCTCTGTAATTAAAGGTTTTTGACGGGTGCCTGTGTATCACGGATGTCTCTGTAATTAAAGGTTTTTGACGGGTGCCTGTGTATCACGGATGTCTCTGTAATTAAAGGTTTTTGACGGGTGACTAAATCAAAAGATGTCAACTAAAATTTACCTCGACCTCACCTTTTTGTAAAATTTTATCTTAACCCCTGCCAAAGCTTATTTTTGTTCTAAGCGAAGTTCACCCATCTCTGGGTCCCCAACAGAATCAGAGTCCTTGATAAAACCAACTAGCTATATAAAACATTTATTTGATTAGCAATAATGCATCACGTATGATTGTAGATTATTGAGAATCATTATTAGAACAATTTCATTAAACTTTGAAATACGAATTCTACGACTACAGAATTATCTCCCTTGAGCGGAAATACATTATTCATTCTCATTTTTATGTCACAAGACTTGGAGTAAACACCAGCCGACTTCCGTAGCTAGCCGCACACTCAGAGACGTTGGATCCACAAACTTGTGTGATTGTCATTGTATTTCAAGCCAGTAAAGGAATTATATAACGCAGGATGGCAGTCTGCCCACTTCTTGGACCAAAATGCTCTGTGTATTATATGGTCATCAGCGTTTGGGGTGTCGTTATGCTGGTGAGTACAACGAACATTATCAACTGTAGATCTAGGACTGTTCGACGCCAGGGCATTGTAGTGACTTTGGCTTTGCCGACTCAGTAGTGTCACTGTTTTCATGGTAGCCTATATTGTATCTGGCAGTGCAGAATTTCTACACTAGATCTAGATCTAGAATCTATAACATTGTAGGCCTAGATCTAGCGCAAATCCCCGCTCTACAGCAAGCTCTTCTGTCTTCTTAGCTAAGATTTTCTATGCACTTCACAATCACAATCTTATAAATTCTAGATCTAGATTCTAGATCTAGATCTAGATCTAGAATCTAGATAATATCTAGATATAGATGATCTAGATCTAGATTCTAGTCTATCTAGATTTCTAGATCTAGGTAGATCTCTATAGATCTAGTGTCAATTGTGACCGGATCATCCAGTCGTAACTGACACTGCGTCAGTTGTGACCGGAGACATAGTTGGAGAGTACGGAGAAATTGTAATTGCCGATATCATCATCATTGTCATTGACATTGACTGACATTGGCATGCCATACTTAACTAGATCTAGATTTAGATCTATTACATGAATTCTGTGCCGTGAGCTTGTACGTTCCATTACTAGATATCTACTGTTGTTAGCCTAAAAGCGTACAATTTTGTCTGTGGGGAGAGAAAGAGAGAGAGGAGTAACGCGAGAACTTCCGGGCAAAACAAAATGGCGACCCGCGTAGTTCGGCTCGATTCGAAAAGTTAAATAGCCATAGCATCTTTGTAGACGACCAAATTAATTTACTTTTGTCTTTTAACATCATATTTTAACTTTGTTTTGGTCAATTTGATGGTCAACACCGATAGACAGTATTCAGAAAGAAACAGAGAGAGAGAAGAGGGGAGGAGTAGATCTTGCGAGGACTTCCGGGCAAAACAAAATGGCGACTCGTGTAGTTCGACTCGATTCGAAAAGTGAAATAGCCATAGCATCTTTGTAGACGGTCATTAGTTTATTTTTGTGCTATAACGTAATTTTTTCGTCTTATAATAAATGAAAGTGGCTATTCTCACCCGCCCGGAAGTTCTCGCAAGATCAACTCCTCCCCTCTTCTCTCTCTCTCTGTCTCTTTCTGAATACTGTCTATCGGTGTGGACGATCAGATTGACCAAAACAAAGTTAAAAAATTATGTTAAAACCCAAAAGTAAATTAATTTGGTTGTCTACAAAGATGCTACGGCTATTTAACTTTTCGAATCGAGCCGAACTACGCGGGTCGCCATTTTGTTTTGCCCGGAAATTCTCGCGCTACTCCTATCTCTCTTTCTCTCTCTCTCTCTCCACTGCCCACAGACAAAATTGTACGCTTTTAGTTTAGTAGGCTACAGTTGTAATGGAACGTTTGTTCACGGCACAGAATTCTACAATTTTTCTGTTATCACAGTGTAGAATTCTGTGGTTTAGGGTGAACGCAAAATTTGGTGAACGCGCACCGGGTGAGAATAGCCACAAGACTCGCCTGCACTATTCTCACTCAGGGTGAGAATAGAGGTGGCCTATATAAATAGGAAGTGGCTATTCTCATCCGGGGTGAGAATAGAAAAACGATCTACCTCTCACCCCGGATGAGACTTGCCAGCGTAGGCTATTCTCACCCGGTGCGAAACAAGACCTGCTTTTCCTCATTTTGGAATACTGTCTATCGGTGTGGATGATCAAATTGATAAAAGCCAAGAAAAAATTACGTTATAGCACAAAAGTAAGCTAATTTGATCGTCTTCAAAGATGCTATGGCTATTTCACTGTTCGAATCGAGCCGAACTGCGCGGGTCGCCATTTTGTTTTGCCCGGAAGTTCTCGCAAGATCTACTCCTCCCCTCTCTCTCTCTCTCTGTCTCTTTCTGAATACTGTCTATCGGTATGGACGATCAAATTGACCAAAACAAAGTTTAAAAATGATGTTAAAACACAAAAGTAAATTAATTTGGTTGTCTACAAAGATGCTACGGCTATTTAACTTTTCGAATCGAGCAGAACTACGCAGGTCGCCATTTTGTTTTGACCGGAAGTTCTCACGCTACTCCTCTCTCTGTCTCTTTCTCTCTCTCTCTCTCTCTCCACTGCCCACATACAAAATTGTACGCTTTTAGTAGGCTACAGTTGTAATGGAACGTTTGTTCACGGCACAGAATTCTACAATTTTTCTGTTATCACAGTGTAGAATTCTGTGGTTTAGAGTGAACGCAAAATTTGTTGGCCTAGATCTAGGCTATAACAGTGAACGCGCACCGGGTGAGAATAGCCAAAAGACTAGCCTGCACTATTCTCATCCTGGGTGAGAATAGAGGTGGCCATATAAATACGAAGTGGCTAGCCGTACTTAAATACGGCTAGACTGAGAGTCTAGCAGTCTAGCCGTACTTAAGTATGGCTAGACTGCCAGTCTAGCCATACTTAGATCTAGGTTTGGTCCTATCGACTAAAGCCTGTTAAGTACACAGGTCTCATTAGATCTAGATCTAGTAATAGTAATTATTCAGGTTCAAATACATGCAAGTCAGTAAGGCACCTTTTTGTTTTGTCTGAAATACAAATACTTTAGACTTTAGGCATTGCAGACTAAAAATTTCATTTACAATTCAGCCATCAATATTAAGTACGGCTAGCCTGACAGTCTAGCCGTACTTATCTTAGGCCCTATTAACATTAGAAAACGGGAGTTTTAAAATACATGCACTGTCATTAAGGCACCTGGTTTCGTCTCAAATACAAATACTTTAGGTACTGCACACTAAAAATGTATATTTACAATTCAGTAGGCCTATTTTTTGTTAAATGGTCAGTCTAGCCATCATATTAAGAATAAGTACGGCTAGACTCGCAGTCTAGAATAGCCAACAGTGGCAAGTCTCACCCGGGGTGAGAGGTCGATCGTATTTTTATTCTCACCCCAGGTGAGGATAGCCACTTCCGTTTTTCTATTTTACTGTTGACTTTGGCCAGCTCTATTCAGACTCAAGTCCGAATGTATATTCGACAGGCACTATTTGCAACGCCGTGTTCTGAATAGCTCCCATGCTATTTGAAATGCCAGTACAAGATCTATTTATTTGTTAGCCATCGTTTCTACATAATAATTTATTTAAAATACTATTGTAGTTCTGCCTGAATTGTGGATGATCCGATCACAATTGACGCAGTGTCAGTTTCGACCGGATGATCCAGTCACAATTGACGCTTCCTAAATTCTATTACCCCATAATATATGTAGAGTGTATGGTTTGGGTTAGGGTTAGATCTAAGTGCCCTCTTCTTTATTGTGTTTGTTGGGGTGGTCACTCGTTACGGAAGCCCTTCATTAAGTAGCCGTAACTCTTGTATATATCTATAGTTTGCTCAGTTGTGGACCTTGTCACGGTAAGTGCCGGCCCTCTGCACAACTCCTGCCATGATTTGCAGTCACAAGTGTAAGTTGTCCGCCAAACAGTGACTAAATTGCTATCATTTTAAAATAGTCATCATAGTAAGATTTACTAACTACTGTACAGAGAGTGACTCTCTGTGACTGGGAGTAAAACTAAAACTAAGTTACTAAAATCTAAAGTAAATAATGATATAAAAGCGGTCGTTCTTTCCCAAAGCATGCTGCCTAGGGTAGTGGGATCTAGTAGTCCATTGCGTATGTTGGGTAAAAAAATGTGTCAAGTGTCATTGTCACTGTGTGGTCCTCCAAAAACCCAAATCCTGGAATTAATATTACTATATATTACGAAGTGACTATTTGTCCAAAATTTGTCCAAACGCTCGGGAAAATAAGCTTGATCTCTATTTCTCCCAACGGTTTCCTTTCTCAAGATTTTTTGGTTATTTGCAAGATTTAGACGTCATCTTTCATTCTGACATTCTGCAAGGACTGGGAAGTTGTGGTTGGGGCAACATTCCCAGACTAGATCCAATACTTTGAATTTGTAAATGCCTTCAAAAGGTACTGAGAGAAAACTAGACTGTTCGACCTTGGCAGTAATCTATTTTGCATTTAGTCACCCCTAAAGCAAAGACTAAAATCCTTCATGGTAAACTAAACAAAAATCCCTCATAGCCCCCCACGCCTCATTCACACCTTACACACACACACACACACACACACACACACACACACACACACACACACACACTCACACACACACACACACACACACACTCACTGACAGGCAGGCCTTTTCGCAAATTATCAACAAATCTCAAAAATCGAGAAATAAAGTTCAACTTTCTTTTCCAGAGCATTAGGGGAAATACAGCAACAACAGGCCTTGATATTAGACAGGGTTGACTTTTTATTCAATCAAATAGAGTTGGTCTGTCTGTGTACACACTTTTAGTTTTAATCATTTCTCAGGAAGAACTTTCTTAATGAGCAACCACCCCAGACAATTGAAAAGAATAAAGAAGAGACCTGACCCCGACCCTACTCCCAAACTCTAACCCTAACAGTGAACCATATATTCTACTGTTTCATGTAGTTTCTCAGACAGAATCCTGCTGTAGGCCTACTTCATTCGGCTTTCTTTGTTTGCTGTTCACACAAATCTAGCTAGGCTAGACATGCTTAATTACAATCTAATTTCAACATATTGGTTCTTTGAATGAACACCATTTCATTCTTCAATAGTTCAAAAACAGCAGTAAATTCTTATTTTCACTCCCACACACACACAGATGCACTGCTTTGTAGGTCAGACTGCAGTATTTTTTTCTGCAAATCACACATGGCATAATAGCCACTATTTTAACGAAAACTGTCGCAAATTGACTATTTTCAAAAAAACCAGTAAAATTGGGCTTTTTGACCTTCAAGCAGATGCACTGTTTTGAGGGATGTTGTTGTTGTTGTTTTCAAATCCCTTTAGCTGCGAGCATTTCGCTCTTGGCAGCGCAATGCCTCCCTCAAGTAACCACATGTCCTTGTCATCTGGTCAGCGCCAGAGTAGAGCAGGCTGTAGTAAGTCTGTAGGTGTGTGTAGGAGCCTGAGATGTTCAACGGTCTCCTCGTGGTAGTCACAGTGTCTGCAATGGGGTTAATTCTGTTTATGTGCTTGTTGGTGTGTAAGTGTCCTGTGCGCGCTCTGAAGATCAAAGTCTGATAAGCTCTACATAAGAGATTCGATGGGTCTTTGGGGTTGGGTTTGTCCATGTACCCGAAGAGAGATCTTCCTGTTTCTGCGTTGGCCCATCTGTTTAGCCACTTTTTTTAGGGATAAACTGCCATAATTTTTGCTTCAGAACACACAATATATGACCTCTCAAACCCTTGCAAATCAATTGTTTTCAAGTAAATATCAATCCAAATTGCCAAAACATAAATTATGGTGCTCTCTAACAATGTTCTTTCATCTGCTTTCGTCTCCACTTTCTGCCCCCACCCCCTCACCCCCTTTACCCCTTCCTCAGGGCTCCTGACTCTTTCTACTGCTAGGCCTACTCCTTGGTTCCTTCCTACTGCTAAACACACTTCAGGCCATTCCCAAGGGGGGAAATTAACATGTTTTTCATCACAGTAGGATTGTAAATGGGCTGATTTATCAATGTCATGCTCATACTGTGCCGGAACAACATAGGGGGAACTGCTGCTTTTTCTTTCCTCATCCTTACTACTATCATCATTTTTCTTCTACTTATTTTGTATGTTTGTCTTACTCACTCTCTTGTGAACTGCTATTTCCGGGGTGACTTGGTAGTCCAAGCAAACTTTGTGCTGTTGAGGCTAGAGAGGTTAGCAGAGTAAGCCTGATACCACGTTTGGACTTCTCTGTTGACATCCACCCCTTGGCGCTCATATGACCTTTTCTAGTTGCGAGCGCCGTAAAACCTTACTGAAACTAAACAAATCTCAGTGTCTGTTCAACCTCCTCTGTTTCAGGGCCTTATGGGGGTCTTCTTCTACATCCGGAGCCCCTCACTTTTTGAAGACGCCAACATAAGCGAGAGCGAATGGGAAAAGGAGAAATTCAGCGCGGACTACGTGAAGGATAAGTACGAATCCCAGGCGTACAACTGTTGGATTGCCGCCGGACTCTACGTGGCTGTCTTCATTTTTTCCTTCATTCAACAAAAACTGAATTCCAGAGTGAACTATGAAATGTCGTAATGATTTCAGTGTCCTTTCATTCAATCTGTCTTCTTTTTGGTTTGTACACTCGTCTTCTAGATTTCACTTCATAGGTCGTACTTTTTTTGGTTTTGTTTTTGTTTGATAAGCAAAAGCGTTACTGTATGTGTGTTTGACACTTTACTCTGATGGTGTTTGGTGCTTCCTTTTTTTTCTAAGATATGTACTTTCAGCGTTAAAAAATTATTTGGGGAGGGGGGGGGGGTGTATCAAGCACAAAATATCTTTTTTTTTTAATTTTCCTCATCTGGTCAGCATGAACGAAACGATTCTGTGTGGAGTCAAGCGGAACATATTTCTTTCGTTCTTTTCAGTCCACAAAAAGAATTGCGCAGAAGAAGAAGAAGAAAAAATAAGATCACTTCATGTGATGGTAATTTAGGCATTAAGAGAGAGGTAAATAGCAGTACAAAGAAGTGACACAGTGTAACCAGTGACTCTGTACCTTTGGTGGTGTTCTCTAAGAAATATCCATTGGCCCGTCCTTGGCAGTAGCACTGTGCAGTGAAAGACGAAATATTTTTACTGGCTTGTACTGCTTTTGATATAATATGTGTGTCTCTCTCTTTTTTTTTTTTTTTTTTTTTTAATTCAGCATTCCTTCTTCTCCATTTAGATGACATTGTTGGGAACCCCTTACATGGGTTTTCAGTTCTTCTTGGTCTGCTATGGGAGCAGTGGTTGCCGTTCAGACTTCAGCTGTGATTTATGATACATATTATAATACATGTTATTGTAGATGTACATGGTGATATATATGAATATATTTTGTCTTTATATCGGATGCATGTATGCAGATTAAAATTGTGACATTTACATTTCATGGTTAAACTACCGTAGAAGTTTGTTTCTTTTGGGCTGCACTTCTGTTTTGTAGATGTCCACATATCGTTAGTGCATTTGGCTATTTGTGTATGGAGCATATCGGATACTTTCCAGAAGAAGAAAACAAACTTTTTTTTTTATTTGATCTAGTCCAGTGGGCTGTTTAGCTTCTTGATTTTTTACAAACAACATTTAAGTTGATTTGAATTATGGATGCAAAGTAAAATGTGCAAGCTGATTTTTAAGATTACAATTGTGCTTAGGTGAAATGCCTTAGGAGTTTTCAAACTTTGATCCATATATGCGGATAGCAAACGACATTGACGATATATATATATATGTTTGTGTCTTCTGAAGAATGTGTGTGTGTGTGTTTTGGGAGAACAGTGCTGAATGAGTGCACCTTGGCTTTAGATTGTGGTGAATGTGAATCAGTCAGTGAGAAATGTGCAGCGAAAAGGCAGTTTGAGTTTGATAAATAGGCGTTTTGTTGAGTTTGCTCTAAGCATTTATTGTTCTGTATATTTTGTGGATTTTTGTCAACTGTGGCTTAAGATAAAAATGCTAGTAGAAGTGCATTTTCCTCTCGTATCTCTTTATCAGTCCTTTTCCCTCAGCCCATTCTCTCTCTCTGTTATTCTCTCTGGTCCTGTCCATTCTGTTTCTCTCACTCTGACTTTCAGTAAATTTTGGACTGATCCGTTTGGTTTGAGTCTAACATCATATTCTGTTGTTCAAGAGTCAAAAAGTTTCAGTGGGTAGGCTGAACTGCTAGCCTTTTATTTGTAACAAAAAAGTAGCTCTGATAAAGTAACAGTCTAGACAGGAGATAAGACTAAGAGATATTTGCTTGCCGGTTTCACTGTCAAAAGTTTTCAAACTCTAAATATATTTGAGTCAGCTTTAAACTTTATATGTGTCATGTCATCTCTTAAGACAGGAATGTGTACAATGTGAGTGTACTTTCTCAGTAATGCTGTATTTTATTTAGTCAGTGTATATAGAACACCATAGTCAGAACGTTTTTCATGTCTTTGCACAAATTGTGATGTGCTGAGTGCAAGGATGTCATTGAATTAAGTTTTTCTTTTTTTTTTTTTTTTTTCCATTTTGAATGTTGTATCATGGTGGTATAATAGCATTCGTTCGTTCATTTCCCTCCTCAATATTTTCATTTTTCATTGACCTGCACGGGAAATTTATCATAAATATTCTAATAAATTGGAACAGCTTAAGTCGAGATGGCTTGTTGGTTGGCTTTATGAATGTATGTGTCTTGTTTGTTTAAATATATAAGAGCTGAAATGACTATTTCATTACATGTTCTTTCTGTTTTTGTTTGTTGTTGGGGTTTTTTTTTGGGGGGGGGGGGTCTTTTCTTCTTTCAAACTCACCAAGTTTGGAGACTGTTTTCTGTGACTGTCTGCCTCTCTGTGTATTTTTGTTTGTGTGCGTCTCTGAAGTCTTTGTCAATTTTTTCTCTGTCTCTCTCTCTCTCTCTCTCTCTCTCTCTCTCTCTCTCTCTCTCTCTCTCTCTCTCTCTCTCTCTCTCTCTCTCTACTCTCTCTCTCTTTCTCCCCATTCCTCTCTCTCTCTCTCTCTCTCTCTCTCTCTCTCTCTCTCTCTCTCTCTCTCTCTCTCTCTCTCTCACCCCCCTCTCTCTCTCTCTCCTCTGTCTCTCTCTCTCTCTCTCTCTCTCTCTCTCTCTCTCTCTCTCGTCTTTCTCTTTCTCTCCCTCCCTCTCTTTCAGAAGCCGTCCTTTTCCAAAGCGAGTGACAGGACTATGACATTATAATGTTGTATCCAAATAATTGAAATATACATCGGCAAAAAGACACAGACATGTGGAGCATTTATCTGGTCCTATGGTTTTGACTATAATGAAATCTTTGTTGACATTGGTAAGGTAGGTAAGTTGTTTTACAGCGCTCGCAACTGCATAAGGTCATGAGCGCGCCGGACGCATTAACACATTTTCAGTTGATAGGAAATATTGAATTTTGCCAGGATAGCGGCCAAAGACTACTCTTATCGATTTTAGACCACGGAGGGATCTTTAACGTGCGCAACTTGCACACAGGATCTCCGAGATTTCTCGCCCATGTCCGAGAAGGCTAGGTGTAGATCTTTCCTACCAGAAGATCAGGGGTGTGGCTGAAAGTAGTGAACTGTCCCTGTAGAATTATGCAAATTTAGAAGGCCAAATTATGCCCAAAAAAAAGCAAAATTATGCAAGTTACCGTAACACCATTCGCGACATGTTTTGCACTTTTTCAACTCGAAGTTTCATGATTTTCATGTTTTATGTACAGAAAAATTGAAAACAGAACATATCAGTATCAGTAATTTGTTGTGTATTTGGAAAAGAAAACAATACACATCGGTAAAAAAAAAAAAAAACAACAACCAAAAATAATACAGTGGAATCCTGTTATAACGAGAGGGAGGGGACCGGTGCGAAATGTCCGTTATAGCAGAATTTTCGTTGTAAGGGATCCAGTAATAAATTCAAAGGAAATAATCAAGCAAGCCTAACTAATCTATGAGTTTGGTGTTCTGTTTATTTCTTTTTATCTCCTCTGATGATGGCTTTGTTCAACATGACCTGATCAGAAATTGAATCAGGTTTCTTTCTCTAGCATTAGCGCTGCTGACAGCTCGGTGTTGCCTATCAGAATGAAAGTTCTCTCGGCTAACTCGCCCGCAATGTTTTCCCCCACCCCACCACACCCTGTGGTGCGTTCCCATGTCTGCTTGCGCACATTCGCTCCATGATCCATCCCAGCATTGTGACCTCTCCATCCCTGCATCGGAGAAGTGAGAGGCATGGTAGACCTATCACTATCAGGCAATGCGTTCTGCTTCACAGTGCGCATGCCACTCCCTCCCCACTCATTCGCCCCGCCCTTCATCGTTGGGCTGTCCCATTCTTTGTTTCGCTTGATCACTTACAAGTTTCTCTACTGGCGAGGTTTTCATCATGTATAAATGGCCTATGCACTGAGCACAGCAGCAGCGAAATTCCGCTATAACCAACTCGCGCGTTTATCTGATTGCGCTATAGCAGTATTTTATTTACAAAGATAAAGAAGGAAGAAAACGGGGTTTTTAAATAATGTCTTTATAACAGACTTCTCGCTACTTCAGGACTTGTTATAAGTGGACTCCACTGTATTGTCTGTAACTTTCAGCTGTAGATCTAGATCTATAGAGGAAAGAAAAATGTTTTTTAAATGTACCCAAAAAAAAGACATCTGGACGTCTGATGCTGGCATATTACTAAAAACCAGGGACACCTGTCAAACATGAAACATCAGCAGACCTGAGAACAACAACTTTTGATGGATTGAAAAATTGAACATGCTCAAGGAACAAAATCCCAACCCATAACCAAGATCTTCTAACAAGGGAAATAACCAACTTTTCACATAAAAGAGAGTTATTACTGTGCTTACGTCCCTTTGGTCACATGGCGAGGCGTTAATTTAATTTTAATTAGTTGTTTTGTGGAAAAAAAGGAGGAAAAAACGCGGATAATCCAAAATTATGCAAATGTTGCAGAATTACGTGAAAAAAATGCGGCCGCACAATCGCATAATCCTACGGGGACAGAGTGAAAGACAGCAGTAAGGAGCCAAGGAGTAGCAGTAGAAAGGCTGCAGAAAGAGTCAGAAGCCCAGAGGAGGGGGTGTGGCAGAAAGTGGAGACGAAAGCAGACGACAGAATATTGCTAGAGATCAGGAAAAGAGGTGAAAGGAGACAATTTTTTAGAGATTTTTTTTTTTTTCCGGTCGCTACCCGGGACCTTCGATAAAGTGGCGAACACCTTAACCTCTAGGCCACGAGAGCCCTCTGTTGACATACAGACGATACAGGATTGTTTCTGAACTCTAAGAAGAAAGCGTGTGTCTGTGTCAACACTGCTTGCTTGTTTAGTTGTTAATTGTTATTTATTTATTCACTTTTTGTCAGTTCAAACTGGGTCACTTTATGACCTTATTGTGTTGCAAGTGCCGTAAAACTCTTACTGAAAAAAAAAACTGAGTCTGGTCAGGAAAAGAGAGCCAGGGGCCAGAAACACTTGATTATTTTTTGTACTTTTTTTGTGGGGGGTTCCCCCCCCCCCCCCCCCCCCCCCCCGACACATACACACGCGCTCACGCGCGCACACACACACACACACACACGCGCGCGCTCACGCACGCACACACAAACACACACACATCCATTGCTTTGGTACCAATGTTTTTAGATTTTAATTTGACTATTTTTACAGACAGGGTCCTATAAAAGTACTTATAATACATGTTGACATTTAATTTATTAAGCGTAAGAAGGGGAGACCAAAGATGACATGGAGGCGAGCGGTACAAGCGGAAATTGAAAAAGTGGGGACATCATGGAAACAGATAGAAAAGGATGCTCAGGACAGGCTTCGCTGGAGTAATGTTGTTGATGGCCTGTGCTCCACTGGGAGTTTAAAAAAAGGACAAGAGAGAGATTTAATTTATTGTTAACTTCATGTAGGCCCTATCTAGTCTACACGTACAGACTTCAACTTAAGTTAGGGACCACCTTGACAGACAGCCATGATTTTTTTAAAAATACAGCAAGGAATGTTTCAATAGTTGTTTTACTCTGAAAGTGTTAATGGGTTACTATTACAATGTTACTATTACAATGTTACTATTACAATGTTACTATTACAATGTTACTATTACAATGCTACTATTACAATGCTACTATTACAATGCTACTATTACAATGCTACTATTACAATGTTACTATTACAATGCTACTATTACAATGCTACTATTACAATGTTACTATTACAATGTTACTATTACAATGTTACTATTACAATGTTACTATTACAATGCTACTATTACAATGCTACTATTACAATGTTACTATTACAATGTTACTATTACAATGTTACTATTACAATGTTACTGCAGAGCTTCCTAAAGGGGCGTAACCACCTCGACGCTGCACGGAAATCCTCGGGGAATTTTAGCAAAATAATATTAGATCTAATAAAGCTATTTTTTTCTCGACTAACACCACGGACATTTTTGTCAGTTAAATTTTCTGGTGCCCGTCATAAACGGACGTATGGTCTCGAACTGTGCGCACTTTGGTGGCAATATAAGCCGCCGTGTGCGCAAAATCTAGTATCGCATCAACATGCCACCAAGACGAAAGCTGAGAGACTTTGATCGTGCCAGACAGAGCTATAAATGGCACGACTGCAGGATGGAGTTGGAGCCCGAGAAGTTGCCAGAAGGCTTGCAGGGTCACACTCTGTCTTTGTCCGCTTGAAGCAGCACCATCAAGCCACTAGACCAGTCCAAGAACGCCCACGTTCAGGTCGGCCCAAAAAGACCACTATCAGACTTCAGAGTGTTTGCAAGTGGTCCTTAACTTATGTTGAAGTCTGTATTTGATGTACGTCGCTAGCCTAGTGGTTAGCCTACCGGACTCGTAATCGTGAGGTTGCGGGTTCGGGGGTTCGAGCCGCGGGCCCGACGTTGTGTTCTTGGGAAAGGCACTTTACACGAATTTTCCTCACTTCACTCAGGTGGGAATAGGTACCCGGCCATAGACAGCGAAAGATAATGTCAGTATGTTGTTAGTGTTTTAGCGTCTATAAATTAATAAATGGCTGCTTTGCACTGTACGTATGCTTTCCAGGAAGTTATAATGAGGTTGTTTCAGAATGCTCTTAGGTCTGCTGGACTATAGATTGTGAAGCGCATAGAGCTTGCTGTTGAGCGGGGATTTGCGCTATACAAATGCTATTTATTATTATTACATGATTAATGGTACATTAAACAATTTTACATGCTCTGACGGCGCATTTACCAGCAGCTCAGAGTCTGTGTCAGCGCTACTGTTTCATTTCATGTAGATGTTTGTTTCTTGGACAATTCATAGTTTTATAATTATTTTGTTTTAAACTGTTAGCCGGTGGGAAAATGAATAAACGTCCTATATTATTATAATATATATGATCAGAACGTCCTAAATTATTACATGTATATGATCAGAGAGGAACGTTGAAAGGACGCTGAAATGAGTATGGGAAAGATCTGGGAAGAGAAGGGACGTAATAACGTTGTGAATAGCCAGGCTAATAAGTTAAGAGTAGCTGTTCTTACAGGAGCTCTTCTATAGTGGAGGAAAAAAGAGACGTCACATAACCGAAGCGGATCATCAACATGGCCGACCAAGCCACTCAAGAGAAAAAGACCGAAGAGAAACCCGAGGCAAAGGATGCAGAGAAGACAAAGGAGGAGGCTAAAACTGAGCAAGATTTGGTAACTATTTCTCGTTTTTCTTGTTAGATTTGGTGTACTTTAAATAAAAGTGCTTGTCTTTCCATACAAACCATTCTGTTATCGAGTCCCTTGTCGACGTTCAAATAATGCTTGTCATGTCACCCGAGGAACAAAATAGCCTCTGCTAGGCTATAAAGAACCATCTGATTTGATATTTTCATGATGATAAGTCGAGGCTCATTCTTTCACTGTTCTTTCAAACTCACCGTTCTTTCCTTTTATGTAAATTTAACTGTACTGTTATGTTCCTATTGTGTTTAACTTTTGTTGTTCTTTCTCCCATGTCTGAGTGAGAGGCTAACGAAGTTGAAGCTGGGTGGTGGCTGGACACTGGGTGGGGAGGAGTGTAACAACAAATACCCAAGCAACAAAAAAAGATTGGATCTAGATCTAGATATTCTAGACTGCTCTGCTGATAGAAGAAACCATATATTACTATCATTGTCTTTAACTATTATTTTTATTAGGCTACTCCCCGGAGCGGTGCTACTCAACTGACTGAAGTGTCTTTTAGGCCATTCCCAAAGGGGGAACACCTGTTCTTATGCACAGTAGAATTGTAACTGGGCTGATTCATCAATGTCATGCTCATAACTGTGCCTGAACTGCAACAGGGAACTGCTGCTTTTTCTTTCCTAATCCTTACTATCGTCATTTTACCTCTTGATTTACTTCTTTTGTATGGTTGTCACTTTTTTGCGACCCGCTATTTCCGGGGTACCTTGATAGTCGAAGCTGACTTTGTGCTGTTGAAGCTAGAGAAGTGAGCAGAGTAAATCTGATTCCCTGTAAGGATTTCTCTGTTAACATCCACCCCTTGGCGCTCATATGACCGTATACAGTTGCGAGCGCCGTAAAACCTCTACTAAAACTATTAGTTTAACTATTATTATTGTTAGCCCATTATGTGTATTAACTGCATCCTGCAATTACTTTTAACCTACTTTTGGCCAGATTTATGTTATGATATCCTTTATTATTTTCTACTTTGTGAAAAATATATTTTTTCTCTTCAGAATCAGAGAGGGAAGAAAATACACCACAAATTCTCATTTATTTGTCCTTAGCATCTGACTTTTCACTTTTCTTCTCTTTATTTTAAAAGTCGGAAGAAGACAAACAGCTTCAAGATGAGTTGAACATGCTTGTGGAGAGGCTGACTGAGCCTAATCAGAAGCTGTACCCTGCCGCTCTGGAGAGTCTCCGCACCCAGATCCGGGCGTCGACGACCTCTATGACCTCGGTACCCAAGCCTCTGAAGTTTTTGCGGCCACACTATGATACTATTAAGGGAGTACATGAAAAAATCAAGGACAAAGAGACACAGGTATGTAGAGCTGATGATGTTTTCAAGTTATTCAATAAAAACAAAAAACTTTTGAACTTAATTCTTTCAGCTGATAATCCTTGTCAGTCCTCAAACTTACCACCATGTGCACAGGGTGTTTTGTTGAGACACTTTAATAGTCTGTTATTTTTTATAATTGTAGATGTCTAATTGTAGTAGAAGTTAAGTTTATGTATGTAATATAAATTAAATATCTTTTTACCTCAGTTATGCAGGAGTAATAAACTACACAAATTTAGTTGGACACACATAATATAATATTGTTTCAGGCAATTTTGTTGTTTGAGTAGTGAACTGGTTCTATTACTATAATTACTTCTATGTTTGGTGAGTAACATATGATCTGAAATAAAGACTTGTAACCTAATTTTATCATCTTGCTGTCATTTCTGGTTTTGATCTGTTTTCCTGTGTCCCCGTAGCGTTTCTGTGCAGACATTATCTCTGTGCTTGGAATGACGATGAGTGAAGGAAGAGACAGTCTCAAGTACAGGCTTTTGGGATCCAAGGAGGAAATTGGATCTTGGGGACACGAATATGTCAGGTAATGAACTCTTTTTTCTGTAAAATCAAAGGTTTGGAATTGAACAATTTTAAGCTGGTTTTTGTTTTTTGGTGAATGTATTTTAAAAAAATAGATTTAGAAAAATAGTAAGTTGGGGAAATTGTGAAATTATATTCACAGTTATTGGGCATGACTTGCTTTTAAACTGGTTGACTTTTATGTGTTTACATTGACAATTTATGGCAAGGCTTTTCTCTCAAAAGTACTGGTTTATAAAGTTGAATCTGTGCTGCTCACACCTGTTGATAACAGTTGGCAGAGACGTAGATTCTAGTCATCTGATTCCTTCCTCGAGAGTTATTAAGAAATTTGAAAAGTGACTTTATACATGGACAACCAGAGTTTTGGGCTTTAAAAAAATTTAAAGTAAGGCCACTTTCAATGGGATCTGTTCATTGTTGATACAGAATTTTGTTATAGTATTTCATTCAGCATGTGGTCTTATATATATATTGTTATTGTGACGTGGATGTATTTTTGAACAATTTGTAAGTATACGTTTGACCTTTTTTTTTTCTCCCTGTGTGTGTGTGTTTGTGTAGACATCTGGCAGGTCAGGTGGCCCAGGAGTGGCTGGCGACGAGCGAGGAGAACGCGGAGATGCGGGAGAAGCTGGTGCTTCTGGCCACTCAGATCGTGCCCTACCACATGTCCCACAATGCCGAGGCTGAGGCTTGCGACCTCCTGATGGAGATTGAGCGTCTGGACCTGCTCAAGGATTACGTGGACGAATCGGCTTATAGTCGAGTTTGTCTCTACCTCACCAGGTAATTGCACTTTGCTGTTACGATTAACTCGTTCAATGCTCAGTGCTGAGTGCTCCTTTTATGCCTCTATTAAAAACACATTTCTGTGTGGATTTTACTGAAAAACGTTGATTAAGTGTATAAAAGATGTAAATTTTCAGTTTCCACGGGCTCTCAAGCTGTAATTATATTTTGGCAGCCATTTTCTGGCTAAGTTTACCACTGAGACCAAGCAACCCCACCTACTTCAATCGCAAATATCTCGACTTGTTTCGAAGATTAATGGATATTGTAGGCAAATGGACAGGCTTTAAGATGATACCAATGACTCCATATCCCCCCAAAAATTGACGATCGCTTAATTCCACTGTGCCGCGACCCAATTGTTTCCTGGTGACCATTCTATCCGGCGTGTTTGTTTGTTCGCAGCTGCGTGGCGTATGTGCCCGACCCTGAGAACACGGTGCTGCTCAAGTGTGCCGTGGACCTGTACCGCAGGTTCAAGCAGTACCCCCAAGCCCTGCGCTTTGCCATGGGCCTCAACGACATGGCCCTCATCGAGGAAATCTTCACAGAATGCCCCGACCAGTGAGTGGTTTTTGTTTTTAGGTGCTGGAAACGACTTCTTGACTTTCCCTCTGTTGTTTCCGTCTGTCCGTCTTATCTTTTCCCTGCACTGTATGGCATTTATTGAGTGTTGATGTACTTCTCATTACTCCAACAAACCTTTCAGACGTGGGTGGTTGGGGGCTGCTCTGGTGTGGTTTGCTCCTTCTTTCCTATCAAACGTCTGTCGTCCTCATCTCCCCTCCCTCTTTTTTGTGTTTGTTATTTTCTTGTAACACCTCTAATCTTCTGCACTTATATGACCTTATTGTGTTGCAAGTGCCGTAATACTCTTACTCAAACTAAAACTTCACCCCCCGGGGCAGTGCCACTGACTGTAGTGTCTTTAGGCCATTTCCCAAAGGGGGGACATTTCTCGTTCAAGCACAGTAGAATTGTAAATGGGCTGATTCATGTCACGCTCATAACTGAGCCTGATCTACAACAGGGAACTGCTGCTTTTTCTTTCTTAATCCTTACTATTGTCATTTTCCTCTTCTTCTTTTGTGGGTTTGTCACTCTCTTGTGACCTGCTATTTCCGGGGTGCCTTGATAGTCGAAGCAGACCTTGTGCTGTTGAAGCAAGAGAGATGAGCAGAATAAGTGTGGTTCCCTGTAAAGACTTCTCTGTTGACACCCACCCCTTGGCGCTCATATGACCTTATGCAGTTGCGAGCGCCGTAAAACCCTCTACTATAAAAAAAGAAAAGACGTGGGTGTTTGGCAACGTCTATCCTCCTCATCTCCCCTCCTTTTTTATGTTTGTTACTCTCTTGTAACACCTCTAATCTCCGGCACTTATATAACCTTATTGTGTTGCAAGTGCCGTAAAACTCTTACTTAAACAAAAACTGACCTTTTCCCAGCTCTGCTATATGACGTTAATTGTGTGCTAATGTGCTTCTCGTTACTCAACAAACAAACAAACCAACCTTTCAGACTGGTGAAGAAACAGCTGGCCTTCATGCTGGGGAGACAGCAGATCTCCATGGAACTGTCGGAGATGATGGACGACAAAGATGACCTCCGGGAAATCATCGCCAACGCCCAGCTCAACCAGCACTTCCTCACGCTGGCCAGGGAGGTAACCCACATGCTGTTCATCTGCCACTCTTTTGTCTCTCATATTATCTCCTTTTAAACACTTTGTCATCATATTTTGGGGGAAATCCAAAGAAACTGGGTGGTAAACATCGCCAATTGGCCAGATGAGGTGGCAAAGTGTTAAGAAAATAATTTGTTGTGTGTGTGTGTGTGTGTGTGTGCACTGGTGTGGTTTGCCCTTTCTTTCCTATCAAACAACATCTATCATCCTTATCTCTCTTCCTTCTTTTTTGTGTTTGTTACTCTCTTGTAACACCTCTAATCTCTGGCACTTAAATGACCTTATTGTGTTCCAAGTGCCGTAAAACTCTTTCTTAAACTAAATGACACTAATCTTTATTTTGGTCATTGGTGTAGAGTTTTTACGAGTTACATGTCGTACTTGATTGGGCTGTGGTTAGTTTTGCACATCTGTGGGGACAGAAGCCCACGTGGGATGCTCTCTGTTAAAAACAATCAGAAAACGACAAATGCAGTTTCTGGGACACCTGAATAGACATACAGGTCTTGAACATGTAGCTCTCACTGGCAAAATTGAAGGCAAAGGAGGCCGGGGTAGGCCCAGAACAACCTACTTAGGGAACCTAAACAAATGTGTAACGGGAAAGATCAGGGAAACGTAGCTTTTTTAAGAGCATCCGAACAAAGGAATGAATGGAGAACCATGATCGCTGATGTCTGTCGCAGATCTGGCACTGGATGATGATGACGAGGGACTGAAATGATCTGTGATTCGGGAAAGAAGAGAGCAAAAGATAGGGAGGGGTTTTGGTGGAGAGTTGGCGAGGGGTTTCTCTGGGTTTTCTGTTTTATTGGTAATGTAGATGATACAGGCAAACCTGCTTTTACGGCCACCTGTATAAGACAACCACCTGTCCAAGACAACCACCTGTACAAGACAACCACCCGTACAAGACAACCACCTGTACAAGACAACCACCTGTACAAGACAATCACCTGTACAAGACACATGTCCAAGACAATCACCTGTCCAAGACAATCACCTGTACAAGGCAATCACCTGTACAAGACAATCACCTGTACAAGACAACCACCTGTACAAGACAATCTCCTGTATAAGACAACCACCTGTACAAGGCAATCACCTGAACAAGACAATCACCTGTCCAAGACAACCACCTGTACGAGACAACCACCTGTACAAGACAACCACCTGTACAAGATAACCACCTGTACAAATGGCAGCTTCCTTTCTTCCTCCTTGTTGTTATTTTTCCCTCCATAGTGGCACTTTGTAAGCCGTCCAGTTGTCTACGACAATCACACTTTTTCTTCTCAATAGTCCGTGTCTGTCGGAAACTGAATCTGCTGTATTTCAGTGCGCAGTTCTACAAAATCCCCCCCCCCCCCCGAGTGCTTTGCTGTTTTCATCGCTGATTAACTTAATTTATCGTGGAGTAGGGTTGGGGGGAGGGGGGGTGTATCCTTTGTCTGATCTCAGTTGGACATTGTGGGAACTTAATTAATCATGTTTTGGTTTATTTCTCTTTGTCTGATCTCAGTTGGACATTATGGACCCCAAGGTGCCAGAGGATATTTACAAAACCCACCTGGAACCAAACAGTGAGTGTCTTACTTAAGTGGTTTATGCATTAGATGAGGAAGAAGAACAAAAATAATACTATTAATAACGATCAGGAATGACATTTTCCGTTATTTCCAGGGTTGTTTTCCCGTTGTTTTGGGCATCGTCCGTTAGCAACTTTGTTTTATTGTTGTTGACCTGATATAATGTTTTGTTGCATTTATTGCTTCGTCCCATGTGAAATCTAGTCTCGAAAAAATGTTGTTATTTTTATAAAAGTCAAGTGGCATCCCTGAATGGTAATACTAATTGGTCGCTTTTAAGCACAAGGGGGCTATCCCGAAAAATGCTGTTTTGAGAAAATCGAAGGTAAAGTTTTTGCCCCTTGTTCAGTTTCTTTAAAAGACAAGGAGAGTTTTCTCAATAACCAAACAAATATACACGCCATTGAAACCAAACTTCTCCTATAGGTAGGACAATGCCCACTTTTGGTGTAAGCCAAGATTTCTGGAAACCCCCGAAATCTGGGTTGGCCCGCTGGTCCTTAAAAGCGACCAATTGGACTTATAAAGCACATAGGTTGGCAGGTGCTCTGGTGTGGTTTGCTTCTTCTTTCTTATCAAACATCTATCGTCCTTAAACATGTATCATCCTTATCTCCCCTCCTTCTTTTTTGTGTTTTTTACTCTCTCGTAACACGTCTAATCTCCGGCACTTAACTGACCTTATTGTGTTGCAAGTGCCGTAAAACTCTTACTAAAACGAAAACTTTGTTTTCCCCGTTTCCCTTCAGGAAACACTATCGGGCCGAGCAACCTGGACTCAGCGCGTCAGAACTTGGCGGCGTCGTTCGTCAACGGTTTGGTGAACGCGGCGTTCGGCACGGACAAGCTCATCACACTGGAGGAGGGACACAAGTGGCTCTACAAGAACAAGGAACACGGTGAGTGGGGTCCTTTCTTTTCTTCTTTCTTTCCTTCTTTTCTTCTTCTCTTCTATCCTTTCCCCCCTTCATCCTTTTTTCCTTCTTTTCTTCTTCTCTTCTATCCTTTCTTCCCTTCTTTCCTTCTTCCCTTCTTTCCTTCTTTCCTTCTTTCCTTTCTTCCCTTCTTTCCTTCTTTCCTTCTTTCCTTCTTCCCTTCTTTCCTTCTTTCCTTCTTCCCTTCTATCCTTTCTTCCCTTCTTTCCTTCTTCCCTTCTTTCCTTCTTCCCTTCTTTCCTTCTTTCCTTCTTCCCTTCTTTCCTTCTTTCTTTCCTTCCCCCAAATGTAATTTGTTTCTCTTCTTCCCTCTCGTAATATTCACTGCCATTGGAAATAACCATAATATTCACTGCCATTGGAAATAACCGTAATATTCACTGCCATTGGAAATAACCGTAATATTCACTGCCATTGGAAATAACCGTAATATTCACTGCCATTGGAAATAACCGTAATATTCACTGCCATTGGAAATAACCGTAATATTCACTGCCATTGGAAATAACCGTAATATTCACTGCCATTGGAAATAACCAAGACGAATTTCTCCCTTATAGTTGTAGATGAATCAAGATTGTCATTGTCAATGTGAACTGGTGGATGACTACGGTTGTTTTGTGTTGATGTTGATTTCTGTTAACTATTAGAGAAGTTGTCGACATTGTACTGGCTGTTTATGGTAGGTACAATGGGCAATGTGTATGTACAGTGTGTGTGTGTGTGTGCAGTGTGTGTGTGTGCAGTGTGTGTGAGTGTGTGTGTGCAGTGTGCACGCAGTGTATGTGCTGCCACAAATTTATTTAGTCGCAGGTATATATTTCTTGCATGGTACCACAAGGACCACGATTTTGATTATTTTTCGTGGTTGTTTTTTTTTTCGTTCAGGTATGATGAGTGCTACAGCGTCACTAGGGCTTATTCTGCTGTGGGATGTGGACGGGGGTCTGACGCAGATTGACAAGTTCCTCTACTCATCGGAGGATTACATCAAAGTGAGTTTTGGTTTCACGCTGTGTTCGTGGGTGGTTAACGGGTGCTCTGCTGGTGTGGTTTGCTCCTTCTTTCCTATCAAACGTCTATCATCCTTAGCTGTCCTCCTTTCTTTTTTGTTTCTGTTATTCTCTTGTAACATTTCTTTCTAAATTTGGGCACTTTTATGACCTTGTTGTGTTGCAAGGTCCTTAAAACTCTTACTGAAACTAAAACTTAACTTTCTGGGGTTATTTTGACAAAGCTGGCAGGTCTGTGTGTCGCTGATGTTGTTTGTAGCTACAGAGCTGGGGTGTTTTTTCTAACGATGCGCAGTGGCATCGGTGGCCTAGTGGTTAGGCTAACGGACTCGTAATTGTGGGGTTGTCGGTGGTCTAGTGGTTAGGCTACCGGACTTGTAATCGTGGGGGTCGGGGGTTTGCGCTGCGGGCCGTACGTTTTGTCCTTGGGATAGGCTGTTTACACGAATTTCCCCCCACTTCACCCAGATGGGAATGGGTACCCGGCCATAGACAGCGAAAGGTCTTGTCAGTATATTAGTGTTTTAGCGCCTATAAATGGCTGCACGCACTGTATGCTTCCCAGGAAGTTGAGGTTGTTTCAGAATGCTCTCAGGTCTGCTGGGGTAATAGTATAGATTGTGAAGCGCGTAGAGCTTGCTGTTGAGCGAGGATTTGCGCTATACAAATGTGTCACGAAGTGGTGGAATCAGGTGCTCGTCAATTTTTGTGCATGTGGTGCAGGTACCATCTGAAAGCTTATTAATTTGCCCAGCTTTCTATGAAAAAAAGCCCATCCATCTATGTTGAATATAAGTCGAGATATTTGCAATTGAAGAAGGTGGGCGTAGCATGATTTCAGAGGTAAAATTAACGAGAGAATGGCCGCCAAAGTTTTGTAATTTCAAAAGCTTGTGAGACATTGAAAACTGGAAATGTACATTTTTGTGCCATTAATCGTTTTTCAGTAAAATTCACATGGAAATGTGTTTTTATATGGACATGAAAGGTGTTGATCTTAATAATAAAAAATTGACAAAGATTGCCAAATGGCCGAAAAATGCCGATACCTTCCTTCGATTTCATTATTTTGACGAGCGCTTGGTTTCACCACAATGCCACACATATGACGTCTATTATTGTTGTTGTTGTTTCTCCAGGCGGGTGCGCTGCTGGCGTGCGGCATCGTCAACTCTGGCGTGCGCAACGAGTGCGACCCGGCACTGGCCCTGCTCTGTGACCATGTGATGCACGACAACGCCTTCATGAGGATCGGGGCTATCAGCGGGTGAGTGTGTGTGTGTATGCGTGGGGAAGGGGAGAGTTGG